TTGCTAGCTGACTTTCATACCATAGCAAGATTTTTCTGAAAAAAAAAGGAGGAAAATTGTTTATTTATCGTATGATAAATTTGCATTTCGATTAGTTTATAGAAATGACCTATGACATGATGTTATTTATTGGTAGCAATGTTTATACAAAATAATCATTTAAATTTTACGCAAAAAATTTTCAGCAACGCTAGAAAGAAGGGTATAAATAACTGTTGAAAGAATAAATTTAGAAATTCTAAAATGAAATTTATTACTTCGAGTTAGCCAAATTTGCAGATGCATTGGAATTTTTGCTTCGGAAAACTCGCCTTAACAGTTGAAATGTGTCATTTCTTAGGTCATCAAGTATAATTTTTTCTTTCCTGAAAATTTTAAATATTTTTATAATTTATATAACGCTGACATCTATTTTACACAATTAATTAACAATTCCTCCTCTTTTCTAAAATGCATTCATTATATTTTAAAAAGAAGAAATTTATTCCTTTCAATATTTCATTGCGAATTTAAAATTGTCGCATTTTAGAAAGCTTTAGTTATTGCTAAATAATCATGAAATTATCACTAAAATTTATGAATTAACTATTGTATATCTATTAATAAGCTTGCAATTATTTTAAAAAGTTGTAAAAAAGATTATCATTTAAAAAACAAATAAGCGCACAAACAGGAAAATAAACAAGCAAATAAACCAATAAACAAACGAAAAAATAAACAAACAAACAAAGAAAGAAACAAATAAACAAACAAACAAACAAACAAAGAAACAAACAAAGAAACAAACAAAGAAACAAACAAACAAACAAACAAACAAACAAACAAACAAAGAAGCAAACAAACAAACAAACAAGCAAACAAACAAACAAACAAACAAGCAAACAAGCAAACAAACAAGCAAGCAAGCAAACAAACAAACAAACAAACAACCAACCAAACAAACAAACAAACAAACAAGCAAGCAAACAAACAAACAAACAAATAATTAAACAAATAAATAAACAAAGAAACAAACAAGTAAACAAACAAACAAACAAGTAAACAAACAAATAAACAAACAAACAAATAAACAAACAAACAAATAAACAAACAAACAAATAAATAAACAAATAAATAAACAAACAAATAAATGAACAAACAAACAAATAAACAAACAGACAAATAAATAAGTGAATAAATAAACAAATAAACAAATAGATAGATAAGTAAACAAAACAAACCTGATAAGTTCCTGTTCATGTTCCTGTTCCACCCAACAGAACAGTGTCGCGCCTAATAATGAATATATTGTCAATAAAAAAAATGGTGCAACGTGTCGTAATTTATATTTGTCGTAATAATATTTCGCCTAAAAATTTCCAATTTCCGATAGCATGTAAAAAGCGGGAAAAATCATTTTGCGTCATTTTAGTCATTTTGCGCCAGATAATCCTCTGAGTGCGGAACATTTCTTTTCTGTAGCAAAATTGTGTAAAATATTTTAAAAAGTGATAACAAAATTACTTTTTTAATATTTTCCAATAAAAATCCTTTGAATTTCAATTAAATATACAGCTATTATTCTAAGAAAAGAAAAAAGAACAAAATAGTATTTTAATAAGGCATAAAATGGAACTTTTAAAATTCGATAATTTTAAATATCCTAAAACATTGTTAAAAACTACTAAATTTCTAATTTCTCTACTTATTCGAAATTCCAAGAATAAAATTTAATTCATTGAATACTTTCATCATACTCAATCACCAACATTCAAAATAACAACCTTTCCAAGGAAATCTTTCGGCTTCGGCTTTTGCAAATGTATTTTCTCCTCACCTGTTCGATGTGCCTGAAATATATATACCTGAAATTTTAATATAAAATGCTTTCATTTATATTCTGGATAATCTCGAATGTCAAACTAAACTCATTCTTATTTTTTAATTTGTAAATGCAAATTGTTGTGACTGCAATTTAATGAAATCAATTTCTTGAATCATTTTAAAATGTTACAAAAGAAAGAAAATGATCAAGTCAATAAAACGGTTTGACAATGGGTTGCACGAATTTTTAATAAACTTTTCAAATAAATTGACTAAATTTTTTAATAAACGAATTGAATTTTCAAATTAATTGATAATTCAGTGATTTGATTGAAAATTGATTTTGAATAAACTGATAAAGTTAAGCTAAAATCGATGATAGCAAATCAATGATCTAACCCGCAATGATTTTTAAAGAGTTGTAAAATTATCTTTCATTTCAATCTTCCTATTTTTAAACTACAACATACGTACGGAGGATTTGATAAAAACGAAGAGATTTTTTCAGAATTTTAAGTCAGGAAAGTGCAAAAGTGAAAATTTTGCTATGAATAAAAATTTTTTTTACAGCTTTTCTTAACACTTTTAAGCCAACAAATGTTGAAACAGAAATTTTCAGAAGTAGAAGATTAAAATCTACAAATTCGTAATTTAATTATTATTTAAATTAATTGACGAAGGAATTAATATAGCAAAAAAGAAGATCAAACGTAATATTCGAAATGGGATAACTTCAAATTTTACTTATATATGGATGCTAATCTGGTAAACCAGATGAACTTTAATTAAAGAAATTAGTAGAAATCATATAATTCATTTTCAAATTGCTCTTTTTTTGGCTTGTCGAAGATTGTAGGAACAATATAATAACAACAATTGTAGATTATTCAATAATAACAAGAATTTCCGAACATTTAAATCAAATTGAAGAAAATTAAATTCTAACAAAAGCATAAAATTTTAAGAATTTTAAGATGCAAAAAAATCAAAATTGAATTAGCTTCCCGCCTGGAGTGTCTCTTTTTTAATTGAAATCTTGTTATTAAAAGTCAGTTAAAAAAAATCAATGAAAATATCATAAATCATTCACGGTGTTATCGGTCACTTTAATTTCACATGATTTTAAATCACCGATCCCATCGGCTATAAAATTAAATGTATAACTAAAGATTGCTGATTATGTTTAGCTGTTTTCAAAAAATCAAATTTTTTCTTCTTTGCAGAAAAAACATTGCTCATTTTACAAAAATTGAAAAATTAATGAATTCTCAATATTTAACTCTCGGAAAAACTTCTCCACACTTTATCCGATTTCGGAAACTTTCCCTCATTTTACCACAAATTATTAAAAATTTCTGAAGATTAGCTGTGATAGTAAATCATTTTGCCAAAAATGGAATGTTCATATGGTTTCCATTGTTTCTTATTTTCAGTTTATTTTAATTTTTTGTCACCTTCATTTAATTCGTTTTAAAAAATGCCTAATATCGATTTATTTTATTCTATAATATGAAGGGCTTCGCTTCTCCAATAAGACAGTTCTATTTCAAATTTAACCAAAAATAATTAATATTTATAATTCATTGGAAAAATTCTATTTTGTTTTCTGACTTTTTTATTTATCTTTTTCATTTTGTAGAAATATTTTTCACAACATGAAAATTTATTATTTCCGCCAAAGAATAAATAAGCTAATTAAACTTTTGGGAGGGAAAGAGAGAGAGAGAGAGAGAGGGAGAGGGAGAGAGAAGAAGGAATAATTTTACGCTGAATATAATAACTATGAACTTTCCGTTTTGACGTTGCATAAATGGATCGATGTTTAGAATATTTATGAAGTCGAGTAGTATTGAAAATAACAGAATAAAGTGTGAAGTGATCAATCACTGATTAACTTCTTATCATTTCAGATGAAAAACGTAATGTTGAAAATTCTTGAGATAACATTTTACCTACAGCATACATTTCTTTTTCATTTAAATACAAATATTTATTAATGATATCGCTTAAATGAAATGAAATAAATTTTTACTGTTTAAATCAAAATTAGAATTTCAAACAACAAACCTGATCATCAATTTCGACAAAATTACTCTCATTATCATCTGAAGTACCCAATTGAGAATGTTGCAGACTATCCGATGATGAATATGGAAAGCGGGCTGGATGCCTGGAACATCAAATTGTATTTAAAATATTTATGAATTTCAAAACTGATTTGTCTTAAAATAGTTTTAACATACAATTATAAAATGAAATGAGACGACAATAAATATTTTTAATTAACCAAACAATAATATTAAGTATGAATGCTGTGGAAAATATAGAAGTTCAAAAACTTATAAATTTGGGCTAGAAAGAAATGTTTTAACACTATCAGCGTTTGCAAATATTTTTGAAAGAATGGAATCGTTAATCATCGAATAATAGAAATTTCAAAAATGAGTATTCTACAAACTTCAAAGAAAATTGAGCATTAAAAAAACGTTAAAATTGAAAATATAAAATTTCAAAAATTTATAAACTCTTTAAAATTATGGGTAGGAAGGATAATTAACTAAAATGTAAGAAGTGTTCAATTTTGGAAAGCATAAAGAAAATATATTAGTGAATGCTAATATTGAAATTGCAATATTAATAGATAAAATGAAGATAAAAATGAATTTAATTGATATTGCTTCTGTTTTATCCAATAATTGAAAATTTTTAATTTTTCATCAATCTTCAAATGGAAAATTTATTGTATCAAGGGAGAAACAAAACAAACATTTGTTTTTTTTTTCCATGCAAAAAGGAAAAATAATATTGTCGATTTTTTAAATCGAAAATTTTGAACTAAAAGATAAAAAAGTTGCCGATGAAAAAAGCAAGCGATGAGTGTATATGAACAAATGTACGAACATTTCTGTGCAGTGGTGCCTATCGTATAGTCTTAGCAAATTAATTATAACAAATAATTATGCTTTTATTATCAAATAATTTCACTTTTTCAACAAAAACGTTATTTTCCTGTTGTTGTTGTGATGTTATTATAATTCCAGAAAGAATTTTAGAGATTTCAAGAGGTGTTTGTTTGCAAGAAAGACAAAAGTTTCAAAATATTTTGACAGCAAACTTCAGAGTTTAATCGCAACTGAAAGAAAGAAAAAAACAATTAAACTGAAAACAAATTATTTATAACAATTATGCTTTCATTGATAGTAATAATAATAATAGCAATAATAATAATGACAACGGTAATAATAGTAATAATTGCAAGGATAATAATAATAATAGTAGTGGTAATAATAATAATA